AAGCACTATAGATGCAGACACAAATTTGCAACATTTATTCGTACAAAATAGAGCTAATTTTCTATTGTTTTATGCTAAGTAGTGATAAACATTTTAACACAACCAAAACGAAACTATAAAGCACTGGAAAAAATCGCGCGCTTTAAAGGTTGTAAATTTGATGGAAATATGATGTAAGTGTCCAAAATGATGGAAATTTGATGGGAATGATTTACATCAAATTTACAACCTTTAAAGCGCGCGATTTTTTCCAGTGAAGGTTCGTAGTAGAAGTCATCAAGTAATTGTCCTAGAGTTTAGAGGTCTGCGATGTTTGCTAAATTGCATTATGGGAAAGTGACTAAGTTTTTGTACGTCAACAGCAATACTTTTTTTCTCACAGACTGATTGTTGAGATACTGAGTGTGCAGCTTTTCCTTGACAATGGATACTGATACTCATTTTTAACCGGCATACAATATGCAGGGGTTATTTTAGATTTTTCATATATGAAAAATGAGGTGACTTCAAATATTTATTCCCAATCCTTTTCCACCCAGCATCGGAAGATCACAATATCTCCATAGGAATATCTCCATTAGGAAATGAAAGAATAATAAAGATTAAGTTCAGTTCTGATATTGCAATGAATTCTTATTTTCAAGCAAAAAAAAGTGTGTATGGAATGCACATAGTTTTCATCAGAATAGGCTTCAGTGCAGATACTAGTTCTCAACTGGCGATTTAAAATTGCTCATATAGTAAAGTACGTTGTCTATCAAATTACTTAACCTTTGGCTTTGTTTAAGTCCGACTCTATATGACTGAAAGAAAGCTACTTTAGACTACTTTTTTGCACGCTGTTTTACATTTTTCTTCATCTTTGTCTGAACTTTTCTCTTGTTTTTGCAGACTATATTGCTCTTGAATTTCCTTCGCTACACTGCTCATATAGTAAAGTATGTTTTCTATCGAATTCAAAAATGGTTGTTCAGTAAAAGGAGTAAAATTCTCGTAAATGCGAACTTCAATTCGTTCGCCTCCATCGACTACATAATTTTCCTTTCTTGTCCGCTCTTGAAGTAGATCAACAAGGACCAATCAGGGGCCGTGTAAGATGTGCGCGCGTTGTGATTGGTTGTCTAAAAATAGATTATCGGGACATATGATGGTGGCGATACTATTGGGGAGATGGACACTTCTGGTTATGCACTTCTGCCCAAGACTAGTAGATCATTTTAGAGTTGAGTCTCCTGCATTATTGTATTCTCACAATGCAGTGGTAAACATATAGACAGGAGACTCAAAATTATGCAACTAAATGACCCTCCATAATCATTTCTGAAAAGTTTTTGAAAGTCCAAATGGCAGAGGCTGCCTTAGCTGTTTTTTTTTTTAATTAATGAAAGGATGTTACTAGGAAGGAGGTCTACAGATTATAGCGTTATTGTTTTGTGAAATAATAAGAGACCTGAAACGACTCCTTCTTTCTGGCAGTAACATCAGTGAAGCCTCTTCCAGCAGCATGGAATTCAACTCGTGGAAATGAAATTAAGTAAATTGTCTCTCCGATGTATGTCTTCTTGTGTAAACCTGAATAGTCTAAAACACGTGCTAGTAGGTTTAGCATAATAAAATGTTATTACTATTCTTATCCTTTTGTTATGTACTTTTTGTACTATTTTTTGTACTCTTTTGTACTATTTTTTTCACGGAAAAAAATCTTCTATTGTAATAGAAGGTTTTTTCCGTGACTCTACCGGTGAAATAGAGCACGCGTGATGTTGGGAGAGACACGAGAAAAGTTTTAAAGTCACGAGCCGTCCGGTAGAAAATGTGCAAATTTATACTTTCAATCAAAAACTTTCAAACAAAATTCATGTGTTCAAGTAGCTAAATGGCTTAATTAAGGAAAAGT